TCTGTTTTCATCTTCCTCACTGGGAGGTTTTTAGACATTGGAAGATACAGAATCTTATTTTCACCAGACAATCTAATTTTCCTGGATTCAGTGTCCAGTATACTTTGTGGAAACGCTTTGACAATTACATAAAGTTGGCTCCCAAATCCACTCCTGAACATTTAAATGGATTACACTAATTTTCAGAAGTGCTCAGCAGCTCACATTAAAGTTAGGAAATATTTATTCCTGTACTTTCATTTCAGATTTACCTCTAAATAAAATAGCTTTATAGCCTAGATCCTGCCTGTTTGTTTGTTTGTTTTGATGTGCTAGACAAAACTCCCAATAGAATTATAGGGAGATGATTGGCTCAGGATTCTTTTAGGTCAACCAACCAGATCTAAATTGGATGACTTATTTTTCACATGGTTGAAATGGATATGGAAATTTTCATGGTTATGGCATGAGGTTAAATCATGACATCATAGTCTTGCACTGAGCTGGGGACTCATTTCATCTGGAGGGATAATGTATTACTACCATATAACATACTTTATTACTACCATATTTTTAGCAGAGGTATGAGCTGTATTCTCCAGGAGGTATAACTAGCTTAGTGAAAGAACCATGCCCTGAAAAGTGAGATTAAACAAAAGCAAGAGAGAAGTACTTTGCGGATGATATTCTACTAGACTTAAAAACTATATAAATATATACCTACATAAACCCCAAACAAAATATTTATATTTCATTAGCCATTTATTTCTTCATTGTCACTAGTTTGCCAAAGTATATTCTACCAATAATATGAGCTAGAGATTGGCATCTGAGTGAGACAAAGTTCTGTTACTGGTTCCGTAGGGTCTGAATCTGTCAGCTAAAGAGTAACAATTAGGGTAGCACTCACAGATAGAGGAGGCATTAGAAGGTAAAGCAATGGAAGAAAGTTAGTTACACATGAATTTTACGTACTTTCTGATTCTCTTTTCCTCCGCCAAGCTGTAGAGAACTGGAGATGGAAACCTAAAAAGGGTCTCAGAAGAATTATTTTAAACTGTGAGATGTTTTGCATTTTGGTTTGGCTGCTTTTATTGTATTTTAGCACAGTTAACTTGAAAGAACATGCAAAAGAGAAATCAACAGCAAGTGAAATGACGCCAAAAGCAGGAAACCCAAAGTAAGCATTATCTAAATATTTGATCTGGCAACATCTATATCATCTGCAAAAATGCCATGCAAGACTTGACTCTTCCTAAGGCCACAATCTAGATCAAAGGTGATCAGAAATCTTTAAGTTGATCAAAAAGACTAGTGGTGAAATCAAATGATAGAATCATAGAATATCCTGAGTTGGAAGGGACTCACAAGGATCATCAAAGTCCAGCTCCTGGCCCTGCACAGGACAACCCAAAAAATCATATCATTTGCCTCAAAGCATTGTTCAAATGCTTCTTGAACTCTGTTAGGCTTGGTGCTGTGACCACTTCTCTGGGGAGCCTTTTTCCAGTGCCCATCAAGCAGGACTGTTAAATACACTGCAGAAACCATTAGTTTCCTTTGACATGGAAAGGATTAGCCAGCCTCAAGAGAACTGGGGAAACATAAATGGCATCCATGAAAAGTCATTTTGCTGCCTTTGGTTTTTCCAGCTCATGCTCTGTATTTCTGAGGCCCATGTAAACTGTGATTTCTCTTCCAAGGATTCACCATTACTAGTGTACTGAAATGCCTTATTACAGGCTCCTGAAAGAAAATGCACGAGTTGGACCTGTGTTGGATCTTGAACCTGAGGGCCCCCAGCCCAGAGACTCACTCTGTGCCGTGCTGCTCAGAGTGCCAGCAAGGCCCAGGACCAAAAGGAGGTTTCCCTCCCTCCTCCCCCGCTGGTACTGAAGTGACCATCTCGACAGTTCAGACAAAGCAATATGAATCCTACCAGTAAATTTTCTCCAAGTCTTTGGCCTTGGTAAAACAGTTCAGTTTTCAGGGTTGTCTGCAGAGTCTTTTTTCTACTGTTACAATTTCTTTCTGGAGTATCTCACTGTTTCTTCCTTACCTGAAAACTATTTTCTGTCTTTCTTCCTTGGTTTATTGTAATGCTTTCTGACGAATTAGTTCCATAGTTGTTGCATCCTCACAATCAATAGAGGAAACATATTCCTAAGAAAAACCACACTCCCTAACACGGAAACTGAATCAAGCAGGCTGAAAACTAAACATAGTATGTGAAAGACCACAAAAATTGTCTGTTCCACAAGTACTGTGTGCTTGCACTGGGGATGTGTGGTAGGGCCATGGGCAGGAGGATAATGATGTTTGCAAGATTATCTTCTGCCTTCTCCTTATATAAGCCTGAAATCAGATAGGTGATATTGGTTTAAGGTGCTGTTGCACAAGGTAGGTTAGTTTGCTTAACACTGTGCTGGTGAAAACGGTGTTACTCTCTCCATGTAAACAAAGTCAAAGGCAATCACTGTACAAACCATGGAACACTGAGCAAAATGCTACACTAAACAAAACCCAAGCATAAATTTAGTGTGGAAAATTATGGTCTGGCATTTTTGGAGAAAGGTTTTGAATATTCTACTCTCATACAACACAACTGTCATTAGACAGTAGTAAACAGTACTAGAATGTATCAATGTTGAGAAGCTGGGAAAATTGCATTGGAAAATATAGGGATTGTAATCATTTTTAATGAGTCTTCAAATATGACAGTGTGATCAGTAATAGTACTAGTACCAAAGAGTATTGGATATAGGGATTGTAATCATTCTTAATGAGAGTCTTCCAAATATGACAGTGTGATCAGTAATAGCACTGGTACCAAAGAGTATTGGTCCTGCAGCTATCCTGTGCCATTATGAATGAAAATTTCTTAGCCTACCAAACTGCATCCGAGGTTTTAAACCTCTCTGTTTTAGTTTCATATTGTGTGAGAGTTACTAAGATTAGTCTTGGATGCACAGACTTGCAAAAGAATGGCCTTCCAGCACCATTTTCTCTCCCATTTTCCCTCCAGCATCACTTCTGGCTTGCAGCGCTCAAATGCTCTGATTACATCCCCAATTTACTGATACTGCAGTGGTTTGGTGCAACATATCTTGGTTTTGAAGCTGGGGAGTGTTTTTTCAGGGGAGGAGGGGGAAGCAGGGAGTAGAAGGTTGAGCTTTTACAAATGAGGCTCCCTTGGTAAAAAACCCTCGCCAATGTACACAATAGTCTTTGCCTGCATCAGACTTGCTATTACAGTAAAAGCCCACTTGCTGACACCAATCATTCCTGTAAAATTTAAGGCAACATCTTCGGGAGAAAAGATTTAATTAACACATAAACCCCAGAGTCACTATGACAATCTGCTTTCATGGTGATGGGAATGATCACATTTTTACCCACTGTCAATCCTTGAAATATAAGGGTTTTATGAATAATCTATAGTACATTTTTTTCCTTGCAGAATCAATCAGATTCTTTTGTTACTTTCACGCAAGAACATTTCTGTCTTAGACATCTAGAAAAACTCTAAATTTATCTGGTGCCTTGAGGGGCTACCTCTGCTTGTGTGACAGGAGGTCTCTTGAGCATTTTGGGTTAGAAGCATGAAGGGAGGCTGAGCAATTCCATCCTAACCAAGATCCACATGAGACATCCCATTATTTAAATAGTGGTGCCCTTAGGGCAGTGTATGCAGAACCCAGTGCAAAAAAAAACCAAAACAAACAAAAAATCACCAAAAAAACAACCAAAAAAGCCAGTGCTCATTGCAGACAATAAATAAAATGGTGGCAATGATTACCATGATGTAAAATTAGATTCAAAAACTTTAACTGTGAGGCAGAAATAATGACCTTTGTAAAAAGCTTTGAAAAAAAAATGTCCCCTTAGTCCAATTGAAAAGACTGTGTCTAATACTACACACTTTCTTTTGACACCTTCTTCTCCTACCTGTTATATATCCTTGAAGGAAAAAATACAGAACCTTTTTTCCCCTGGGTTACATCAAAGTTGCTTCTTCATTACCGTGGCATAAGCTAGATTAGCTTGTAAGGTTTAATTTTATGATCTTTGGGGCTTTAACATTGTTGAGAATAAATCTACGATCACCACTTAGACAGAGAATGTTGCATATATTGTTTTCACTGGACATTGTTATAGAATTTCTGTATCCTTTTATTTCCTTAATAATTTTTATATGGTTCCATAGAACTGAACTACATCTAAGCAAGCTATGATCTCTATATTAGGGTTGGAATGTTCTTAATGCATCTTTAGAGTCGTAACAACTCTAATAACCTGAAATTTTTGCAAATATAAATTTTGCATCTAGATAAGTGCTTTTTAAAATGATAGCAGTCTTCTTGTGTTAGGCTTGATTGCAACCTGTTTTCTAAATTAAAAAATGTAAATGTGGCATTGACAAAGGTTAAAAAGATTTAAAGGGAGTTCTGTCAGCAGTGTATGCACACACTAAGCTAAATCCTATGTATCTAATCAGTGTCCTCTGGACTGTGTGCCTTGCTCCATTGTTTACTTTCAAATCCATAATAATTTTGTATCCTTTCACTGGGCAAAGATTCATTTTAAAAACTAATGAATTTAAAAATACGCTTTTCCCTTGTCCATTTGATACTGAGCCTGCAATTTGACTTTCATTGTTTGTTTCCCTCCCTGTCTCGTCAATCCTTTTCTTTCTTTCTGTCCTTTTACTTTATTACATTTTTTATTGAGGACTGAGATGAACTGGTTGCTGCATCATGGGCCCATTACACTTCCTAACAATTCCATTTACACCTTATTGTTTGTCTTATTGCTGGAAAATTCAGGTGATTCATCATGCCTGAAGAAGCACCTGATCCCAATTCCCTTGATATCACGATCACTATGTGACAGGAATACAGTTAGTGGTGGCTTTCAGGCTCAAAGAGGCCAAGGTGATAACTCTTTTGGGACCTTTAGCCTCTCAAGTATTGATGAGTTCCATTTTTGTAATGTTCTGTTTTCTTGCTCCCTTTCAACAGCCCCCTGAGTGTGGAAAAGGGCTTGGAGTTAATAAAGGAAGTGGCAGATCTCCTGAAGCTGCAGATGAGTGTCTTCGATGATGTCAAGTATGTACATGGAATTTGCTCCTTTTTATTTGATTTGATTTCTCATTATTTTTGAATAGTTTGTCTTACAAGGAGATATGTGCTCTTAAATGCCAAAATTAATGAGAATGTGCAAGAGGCAAAAGAGAGCATTGTGATGATCTTTGTAACGTTTCCTACACACAGGAACAAATTATTTTGAAAGAATTATAAAGACTGAAACTTTTCTGTGCTTTCATAGTGAAAAATAATCTGTTCAAAGTGCTGTAAAAATATTACCAACCTTATGTAAAAGCTTCTAGGTAAGGAAAGTCTTGTGAAGGGTCATTATACCCAGCATTGCCGAGGGGAAAAGTTACATCACAGATGAATAAAGAATTTGAGTCCCTGGCTTTGAGTCTGGCACATGGCACCCTGGGTCGTGCTGCTTGGTCAGCTACTTTAATTTAAAAAGTCACAGGGAGTTCAACTATGTTGAGCTACTGTTTTTCCTCCTATGATTCATACTGATGGATGCTCTGCATGTTAATGTCATGAACTAGGAGGTTATGGATCTGCCATGTCCAGTAAAGAGCTTCAGAGTGAGGATTTTCTGGAAGCATTTTGGTAGGAACATTTACTTCACAAAACTTCATTCTTTCTTTATGAAACAGAAAATAAAAGTAGTTTGATATAAAAGGAATGGCAAAGAAGGGTGAGCTGTGGGAGGGTTTCAACAACTTGCTGGAAAGAGCCACATCTTGGGTGCACAGAAAATGACTGATGTCCAGGTAGCCTGTGTTTCAGAGGGCTTGGGGCTGCTTGCTTTGGCCCATGGGTTGGGTTGTTGAAGTGCAGAGTCTTTCTCAGCCTCACTTGTGCTGACATCAGCTTTTGTTTAACTTTCAGTTGCAGAATTCATTGTTTAATGCTCTAAGTCATAGTCTGATGATGTTTCATCTATAGTGGAAGTGTTTATTCTTAATTGGAAATAAAATTCTACCCCTTTTATTACTGTATATGTATGGAAAAATAGACTACTGGGGAAAAAAATCTTTTTAGAAACCTGAAAAATACCAGACACATTGACTTTAATTATTGAGAAGGAAAATAATCCCATATTTGTTTGCTTTGTTTGATGAATTTTTTCGGTTGTATTTCATGAAATACATTTTTATGAAAACTGAGTTTTTAAATTACAAATCCTGATGATATTCTATTATCTTCCCTGTAAAGAGAATTTGCATCCTTGACTTTGAACACTAGCAGATAAACTACTGCACATTTAAAGGAGTAATCCCATGGAACAATTCGTCTGCTGGAATCAGCGGGTTCTGCATCATTAACTTCATTCATTCACAGTACAAGAGCACTTTCACCTACCTTTCTGATTGTTAGTATAAAGCCTTTTGGTTATTTTTTATCATTTGATAAATCACAACAACATTGCAACTGGTAGACTGTAGATTCATTCTCTAATGAAAAATATCCCTCCAGAAATATGGCTAGCTATGATCAACCTTTTCTTTATTTTAATGTGCAAAAGTAGGTAAGCTGGTTATTTTGCATCTATCAATATGCAGTGATATGACTGTACTGAAAGTACCTGTACAGTCAGTATCTTAAAAGTATGTTATGAGTTACAGTAACTCCAAGCACAACTGAGAATTCTATTTGTACAGTGTTTTTATCAGTCTTTGCCTTTTTAAATGATCTATAAATCTGTGAAAGGTTATCCTGAATCTCAGATTAGTGAGAATTCGTCCATAATAAATTTTCTTTGTCCAAGAGAATGAGACGCTTTGACTCAGGTTAAACCCATGAAATACTGAAGAAATGTGGAGCTGTAGATAGAACAGCAGTAGAGTCTCTAGAAAAAGGCCTTGCCGAGAAAAGGGTTAACAATTTTTGGATTTGTTGTTTTCTTATCACTGCATCACTATCTGGAAAACAGTGTGAGTTTGAGGACTCTGGTTAGCTTCTGAGTGGCCTCATGGACAAGAGTTTCAGGAAAAGCTTGATGCTGTGTCATATCCACAACTGGCATATCAAAGTGTGAGAATGAGGTCTTTCAGAAAATATGTTTTCTACTTGGGCTTTGGAATCATGGGTGATTTGCATTATTTTATTTCACTGGCAACTAAAAGTATTCTTTTTCTTAGAGATTCATTTTTTTAAAATATGGAGAATTTATGTAGAAAAGACTACCAGTAAGGGGGAGGATGAAGGATTTATAAAAGGGGCGGGAATTTGTTGTACTAACCTACTTTGAACTTTGACCTGAGTATTTGCTTGGTCTAAAATTCTCAGTTCTCTCTTTTCTCTCCAAGAATTCCTAATGGTTCGAAAGTAACAGCTTAGACTTGGATTTTTTTAGATCCTTGCAGAGATTTCATAGTAAACACATGTTAATGAGGATAATGGGGTTAATTTGAGAGTGTAGACAAAGTCATCACATCAAATTGGAATAGTGTAAGAAGAACTGAGGAGAGAGGGCAAGTGGTGAGTTCTCTTAAGGCTCTTTAAAGTCTCAGTTAAGAGTTTCTTGCCCTTTTCTCTGAAAAAAAATACATTAAAGAGACTTCACTAAAAAATTACTGCCTTTAGTTAGTTTTGTCTGCAAATATCTTTCACTCTTCCCTATATATTGCTATGGATTCCTATCAATTCCCCCTGTTAGCTCTTGATTAGTTGATGCATGGTTGTAATCAGCTTATCTTATCTTCTGTCTTTCACAATCCTGCCAACTTTAACTGATAGCCTTCAATTCACAGTATAGCCTCAGGCTTGACTTCCAGAGCACTCAGTCCACTTCTTCAGCTGATTTGTTGTCAAGTTTGCATTGACATAAACTTTGCTCACCCTGGGAAGCAGATGAGTGGGAATAGATTTAGGGGATTCGTAATTAGAAATATTTCAACGTTGAAAAAAAGATCCAACATGTTAGTTGTCACTTTTGGACACAGCCTGAATCTTTATGGAAGTAATAGTTATGCTTAATATGTTTTGTTAATGGTTATGTAGCTGTCAAATAAATTCCATTATTTCTTATTACATCATTAGAGACCATTAAAAGGATATTAGCATGCTGATGTAATTATGCAAGCAGACGTAAAATGACTATAGTTATGATTTTATAATCTAATTATCGGTGTCCAATGCCCCTGGTGATTGATTGTTGGACTGGTATCATGGATTGAAGTCAGATGGGTAGTAATGTTAGGAGGGTTTGTACCTATTTAAAAAAATATTATGACTTTGCAATCTGCAACATTGACCTTCTTCATGTAATTGCAGTTCTTCAGATGTTATAGAATAGACTTACAAACATGAGACTTTATCAAAAAACATCCAAATACAATAAAAATACCAAACTCTGTAAGCTCACCTTTGAAGGTAGTAGAAAGGATGCTTAGAATTAAAACTCAAAGCCACTGATTAGAACATAGATGACTTATTTGGTTTCTGATGGGAATACAAATTATTTCCAGATTTTTATTTAATGTTCTCATATTTGGGGTATTTACTGAGAACTTTGCTAAGGAGAGTTTTCAGCTCTGGCTTTGTACAGAAAGAAAACAGATTATTCTGATTTCATCGTATTTCAGACCTTATATCCTACCATTCTCAGCCTCCAGTTAAGAGTTAGATTTTCACCGAATATTGCATTCTCTCTAGACTGATATGATTTTCACAATTGCTATTGAAGGCCTTTCCCTCTAGGTGTCTCTTTTTTCCCCATTTTGTTCTGCTTTAACTTCCTCCACCCATTCATCTTAATGGCATCTTTGTCATTTTTGCCTTCGAATATACTTCAACTCAGTACTCAAAGAACTGTCCTTTCAGGAGATGTGATAACTTGACTAACGTTTCCATTTCCATATATAATTTTTCAGTGGAAAACCGGTATCAGAGCACTTTATATTCATTCCATAAAATTGCATTAATCTCTATATGCTGCTGTTGTTTTGAAGTGTAACAATTGACTATATGTGAGCATATAATCTAGATATATAATGTTGGGAATGAACAGGATACTTAGGCTACATTTCAGATGGTAATATAAATAGATTTTTCAAGTTGAAAAAGCTGATTCTGGTTATCTAATATAATGTCCTTGATTGCAAAGCCATAACATTTAACCAGTCTTCCCCTATCATGAATGGTTTGTTGCATCTATATTATACATCCAAAGCTAAGTTAAAAAACCAAATCACTCATCTTTCAGAGTCTAAAGCTCCAACACCCAGGATTAAGGTTGGTCAGCTTTCACCTGACAGTGCTCCCTACCCACACTGAGGCTACAGATAATTCAGTGCTTTAATTGAATAGCTTATTATACAAAAAATGAAAATTCAGGTAACTGAAGGTATGTAGGGAAACTGTATGAAGACTTCAGCTGAAAAATACCTTTAAAACTTTATAGCAGACACAGTAGGGTGGTCTGTGTTTTGAAAGGAAAATACTATAAATTCAAAGTAATTACTAGTTTCAAAATTTAACGGTTTGTCTTATAAGAAAGATGCTTTTATTTTAGTGATAATAATAAACAAAAATTTGACTTTGGTCTGAACTCAAGCCATTTTTTCTTAAATTTTTTGTTTGTTCAGGTGACTAATCTTTTGAACAACTCTACTTATGATACAGTCCTGAAATATTCAGTCATATCTATATATTTTTCTGCAGCTATCTGTACTATCCACAGCAGAAAAAAGATTACTTGGTTAATGAGTAGCTTTTCAATGTTTCATTTTATTTTCATTGTTCAGTGTGTGAGTTCAGGTTTTATTTGTTGCACTCTATTCAAATTCTGCTTTAAGGTCAGAAATCCCATTTCCTTCTGCTTTGGTTTAGTTTTTTTCCCTATGGTGCTCTTCAGTACACTATCAAAATGCTTGACAAACGTGAAGCAATATATTTAACTCATATGAGATATGGGGTTTTATTAGGACCACACATAGCTGGAGTTATGCATGAAAAGATTACTGTCAAAGCATTTGCCAATACGTGTCCAGTGTGATGTCTCATAGTATACCTTGTTC